TACACTATATATTTTTTTTATAATTTTAGAGTATGTTCCTTCTTATTAAAAAATAATTAACTATAAAACAGCCTGAGACAGGTCCTTCAGGAGGTGTCCAGAAGAAGGTATTGTTATCATAGGAGATGACAGCTCCAGGCATGTTCTTGCTCCTGAAGACCTCCCAGTGGGACGTGGGACAAGAGGTAGAGGTGGAAGACCATGATATCGATGATCCTGACCCCTGTGTAGGTCTATGAAGAGCTAATGTGTGTGTTTGTGTCTTAATTTCTTTAAAAAATGTTTACAAAGTAAAAAATAATTTTTTAAAAAATAAAAAAGCTCATGAAATAAGGATATAAAGTTTTTTTGTTTTTTTGTTTTTTTTGGTGATGGAGTCTCACTCTGTCACCCAGGCTGGAGTGCAGTGGCATGATCTCGGCTCACTGCAACCTCCGCCTCTGGGTTCAAGCGATTCTCCTGCCTCAGTCTCCCAAGTAGCTGGGACTACAGGTGCACGTCACCACACCCGGCTAATTTTTGTATTTTTAGTAGAGACAAGGTTTCACCATATTGGCCAGGCTGGTCTCAAACTCCTGACCTCATGATCTGCCCACCACGGCCTCCTAAAGTGCTGGGATTACAGGTGTAAGCCACCACACCTGGCCAGAAAGAAAATATTTTTACAGTGTACAATGCGGGTTTTAAGCTATGTTATGACAAAATAATTTTAAGAGATTAAAAAAATAAAAGTTTATAGGTAAAAAAAGTTACAGAAGCTAAGATTAATTTGTTAATGAAGAAAGAAAAACTATTCTTCATAAATGTAATGTAGCGTAAGTGTGCAGTGTTTACAAAGCCTATAGCCGTGCGGAGTCTTGTCCTAGGCCTTCACGTTCACTCACTGCTCACTCACTGACTCACCCAGAGCAACTCCAGTCCTGCAAGCTCCATTCATGGTAAGTGTCCTGGACGAGTGCACTATAATATCTTTCATATCATATTTTTACTGTACCTTCTCTATGTTTAGATACACAAATACCATCATGTTACAGTTGCCTACAATATTCACTACAGTAACTTGCTGTATTGGTGTGTAGTCTAGGAACAATAGGCTATGCCATACAGCCTAGGCATGAGCAGGCTACACCATCTAGCTGTGTGTAAGTTCACTCTATGATGCTTGCCTTTAACCACATATTTCTCAGAAAGTATCCCATTTTTAAGCAACCCTCCAACTATCCCTGGCCCACTCAAGAGACTCTTTTTTTTTTTTTTCAGACAGAATCTTGCTCTGTCTCCCAGGCTAGAGTGCAATGGCATGATCTCGACTCACTGCAACCTCTGCCTCTCGGGTTCAAGCAATTCTCCTGCCTCAGTCTCTCAAGTAACTGGGACTACAGGTGCCCACTACCATGACTGGCTAATTTTTGTATTTTTAGTAGAGACGGGGTTTCACCATGTTGGCCAGGCTGGTCTTGAACTCCTGGCCTTATGTGATCTGCCTGCCACGGCCTCTCCAAGTGCTGGGATGACAGGCGTGAGCCACTGTGCCCGGCCCCTCATAGACTCTTCTAGATAGAAGCCCTGTCTCACTCTCCTCCCATGTGCCTGTTCCCACCCCCTCCGGCCATCATCTAACATGGTGGCAGAGGGATCCTGTGGGCTCCCTCTGCTCAAAATCTATCACCATCTCCTCCTAGCCACCTATACAGTGGTAGCAGGTAGCAGAGGTAGTGGATAGCTGTGCTGTTCTTGACTCCGTGGGGAGGCTTCTAGCTTGTCCCCAGTCAGCATGCTACTCACTTTCAGGCCAAGATACACTTTATCATGTTAGCGAGATGCTCATCTATTCCTATTTTTATGTGTCATTTAAAATTCGAGAACAATCATTGCCTGTATTCTCTAGCTATCATTTTTTCTCATTATTTTTATAAAGAGTGACATTTATGTTTTGGGGTACCATTCTATGGGCTTTTACACATGCATAGATTCATGTTACCCTCACTATAGACAAGATATTGACATTTTTAGTACTCCCAAGAATCCCCTCTATCTACTCCTTTGTACTCACCCTCCCCCATCCCCAACTCCTGGCAGCCACTGACCTGTTATCCATGCCTAGAGTTTTGCTTTGTCCAGAATGCCATACAAATATAACCCTACACAGTATGTGACTTTCTCAGCCTGTGTTCTCTGACTTAGCGTAATGCTTTTGAGATTCCTCTGTTGTTGCAGGCACCCATAGTTCCTTTTTATTTGCGGGTGGTATTCCATCATGTGGGTAGATTACAGTTCACTTATCCATTCACCCATAGAGGGATATTTGGGTATTTCCAGTCTGGAGGATTGTGAACAATCCCACAATAAATATTGCTGTGTGTCTGCTACAATGGCTAAAATAAACACTTCTGATAGTACCAAGTGTTGACAAGGATGTAAAGTGATAGGAACTCTTATCCATTTTTTTTTTGAGACAGAGTCTTGCTCTGTCTCCCAGGCTGGAGTGCAGTGGTGCGATCTTGGCTCACTGCAACCTCTGCCTCCTGGGTTCAAGTGATTCTCCTGCCTCCTGCCTCAGCCTCCCGAGTAGCTGGGACCACAGGCCCATGCCACCATGCCCAGCTAATTTTTGTATTTTTAGTAGAGACAGGGTTTCACCATGTTGGTCAGCCTGGTCTCAAACTCCTGACCATAGGCCTCCCAAAGTGTTAGGATTACAGGCGTTGAGCCACTGCACCCAGCAGGAACTCTTACCCATTGTTGATGGGAATGCAAAATGCTGCAGCCATGTGGAAAGCAATTGGGTAGTTTCGTAAAAGGTTGAGTGTGCACTGACCACGTGACCTAGCAGTCGCTATCTGGATATTTATCCCCCCAAAATTAAAAATTGCATTCTCACAAAAATCTCTTTTAAACTCTGTTTTTATTTAATTTTCATTGTTTCTCTAATTTACACACTCCTTATCCCTTACTATGCTGTCCAAAGAATTTTCTGTATTTTATTCTTCCGTTTCTAGCCCAACATCTGCCAGCTCATGCCCCATCGCCTCCTTTTTTCTCACTTTCTCCTCATGTTTTCTTATAACCTCTTCCTTGAGTTTCTAATTTATAATCTTCTTTCACATAGGTGATTGCTTTATAAGGTTTTATTTTTTTATGATTTATGGCAACATATCTACTCAGATTTTTTTATTTGTTCTGGATAATATTTTCCTATTTAGAGTTTCATCTAGTAAATGTTGCTGTTTTTTCCCATCCCTGTTCCTTTAAAAAAAGAATACATATTTATTATGCCTGTGCCGAATCTCTCTTTGCTTCTCATTTTCCTGGGCTATTTCCAGGAGTCCTTCAGGGCATGTATATTTGCTGGAGACTGGTGGCCACAGTGACCATGTCCTTTACTCTGCATGTCTTTTGTGACCCCCAACCCCCTACAGGCCTTCTTTGGATCCCTGTAAATTGGGTGGCCAATAATGCAGCTGGACCCTGTAAGACATGGTTCTTTGTAGCCAGCCCAACATTAAGCTGTCTCAGCAGTAGGCGCTGGAAGGACACTGTAGGCGGAAGGGGCCTTTCTTCCTGGGCCTCTCCAGCATGCTTCTGTTTGCTGCTTCTTGCTCCTGTGGCGTGGTTGCCACCAGCATGTGGGGAACACCTAGTGGTGCTCGACTCTGCCATGCTTCTCTCAGTGAGCTCCAGCCCTGTCTTCTGTTCAGTGACCTGTTCTATAAGTGAGCCAAGGATGGCCCTTAGCTTGTCAATTTGTTCACAGCAGGCTTCTCCTCGTTAGCTCAAAAGCCTGCTGGTCCTAAACTCAATGTTTTACACATCCAGCTGTTTTTGAACATAGTCCAAATACACAGATATTTAGCCATCTAAAGCTTGTCTGCTTTGCATACCCTGTGAAACTGCACCCAACATCTGCTCGCCACAGGTAATACGCAGCCTGCGGCTAGGAAAGGCCCGCAGCCGTTATTGCCCTTGAGAGCTCTCCGACCCAGAGACTCCCCACTGTGCCAGTGAACCACATCACCTAGACGGGTAACCCCCTGTCAGAGTCCTCTTTCCTCAGAAGTCCCCTTGTCTCTTCCTCTTCTGGATGGTGTCTCCTTAACCTCCAGATAGTCTCAGGCCATAAAGGGCTTCCCCTGCATGCAACCTTCCAAAGTATTCCCCAAATGAAACTTGTGTGTGCTGCCACCACCTTGTGATCATATCTTTTTCTTGGATCAGCATCGAAATCCCCTGAGCCTTCTACACCTTTTCACTGCAGCTGTCCCAAGGCGGACACACACACCCAGGTCTTGCACCCCCCTAGCCAGTGGGCAGGCTCTCGACAAGCTCCCTGCGGGTGTCTGTGTGCTGCACCAGTCCGCCTGCACTCCAGAGGGGTGTTCCTTGTTGCCATTCCTGGCCACCGTTTCCTGGCCACCTGCACTCCAGAGGGGTGCATTCTGCTTCTCTAGCAAAGGGGATCAGCTCTGGCCCGGGACAACCGGGCAAATGTCTCTGCCTTCCGCTGGGTTGCAGACACCTTCTCCAATGTGCTGTGAGTCCCACTCCTGGGGAGGGGGAGAGGCTCCCCTGCCAAGTTTGGTTCCTCCTCAGATACTCTCCTCCTGCCCTGCCATATCTCAGAGTGCTCCTGATGCTATGCAGTCACTCCCCAGTTACAGTTTGTGATTCTTCCTGTTAAACTTTCCTTGTTCAAATCACTGCACAGTTTCCATCTCCTGAGTGGACCCTGTGTATCTTTGGTGCATCTCCGTGACCACCCTAAGCCCATACGCCTCTGACAGAGCACTGCCCAGACTTCCCCAGGTCTCCCAGCTCTCTGCAGCCATGAAGAATAGATACGGAAAAAGCTGCAGGTTTTCTGAGCTCTCCCCCTCCTCGGCTTGTTTGCGCTACCTCACTCAGCTTTCAGTACTGGTCTTACTTGGGAAGATTCCATGAATAAGGGATAGGGATCTCTCCATGCTCCTCACATACAAATGGCTCTTTCCTTTCTCCTTCAGAAAACGTTCAATGTGGCTACAGGCCTGCTTTTCCAAACTCGTCATGGTTACCATTTCATGAACGGCTTCAAGTCCAGAATGGTGAGTTTCCGTGGCAAGTGAGTATCCAGATGTCTCGGAAACACCTCTGTGGAGGCTCAATCATACATCAGTGGTGGGTTCTGACGGCCGCACATTGCTTCCCAAGAACCCTGTAAGTGTCTTCATCTACATCCTGTCTTGTCAATGTATTGTCTGGGCTGGGCAGCTCAGTAGACCTGTGCACAGCCCTATGAAGCCCTAGGCTCTAAGTGCAGAATGTTGCACTGGCTTTGTGCCCCAGGGTCTCTGCTGTACACCCACTCTCTCCTCTTTATTTAGCCAACCGTATCCAAATGCGGGCTGCTAGTCAGAGCTCTGCACCCAGTACATCAGTACACTCTCTCCTGTCTGTCTTCTGTGTATGAAGACAACACACTGGAGTCATTTATTGAATACCTTCCCATTGAGCACCTACTATGTGCTGTTCCGAGAGCTAGGGACATAGGAGTTGACAAGACTGCCTAGGTCCCTGTCATCAAGGAGCTTACAATCTCATCTCTCAGAGGGATTCATTCCTCTTCTTTCGGTCAGGAGAGTTTCCCTGGACTGTCAACCCACCGGTTCAGAGATTTGTCAGAGTTTGGGCTCCTGGTTCCTACCTATCTAATCCTAGCCATGCTCCAGACCACGGTAGCTCACCCACTGCACTGGACTTCTCCTTAGTTGTCAACTCACTGTTTACAAACGTGTCTATGAATGTGAATTGCACTATCACCCTTGTTAGCACTGGTGCTTTTATATTCATTCTTTAGATTAGACATGGCCGTGGTAAATGTCACTGTGGTAATGGGAACGAGAACATTCAGCAACATCCACTCAGAGAGAAAGCAAGTGCAGAAGGTCATTATTCACAAAGATTACAAACCGCCCCAGCTCGACAGTGACCTCTCTCTGCTTCTACTTGCCACACCAGTGCAATTCAGCAATTTCAAAATGCCTGTCTGCCTGCAGGAGGAGGAGAGGACCTGGGACCGGTGTTGGATGGCAGAGTGGGTAATGACAAATGGGTATGGTACGTGCCCTCTTTTCAGAACCCACAGAAAGCCCAAATGTAGGGTGCCCTGGGCTAGAGAGCATGAGGCTTTGGGTGTGGGAATGCTTGGGTCTGAATTGTGGCTTTGTCTCTCTTGAGCTCCTTCACCTTCCTCACCTTTAGTTTTCTCATCTACAGAACACCAGGAACGCCTCCTCAAATAAGTTATGGGGATTAAATTAAATGAGGTACCCAGTAAAAGCCTAGGACATAGAAGAATCTCAAAATATGAGACCGATGATAATTTTTGTGGAGTCAAAAGCATGATAAGCCAGTTTGGATCATCCCACTTGTGGCTGTTTCACAATGGCCATCTCCCCATCTATTGGCCACCCCATGTAAAACACCATCCCGAGATAGCTCTGAGCCACTGATTCTCCAACCAAGCTCCATTACGATGATTCCACCCCTTTCCCTGCAGGGCACCAGGCTGCCTGGCCAGGGAAGATCTCTGGGAGGGTGGGAGTGTGGTGGGGAGAAGGCCAAGAGTTCCCCTGGCATTGTGGTCAGTTCCTTCCTACGAAGTGGTATGACCAGGCATGTCTTCTTCTTGGTTTCTCCATTTGGCTTGGTGAAGACACTGGCCAACACCAATTCAGAAGTTGGGCTGCTCTGATCCTCAGGACAAAGCCTGGCTGTGAAGGGATGGTGGGGCCAGGGAAGACCTTCATTCCAAGTTCCCCTGGCAGGGGCTGAGGCTGGGGCTTTTGTGGGCTGCTTCTGGAGAGAGTGAACTTCCCACAGGAAGCACACATTTACTGGAGGAACTTCTTGTTGGGACTGTTGGAGAGGAGACTGAAGTCATCCCAGGCCTCCACGCCCTGTGAATTTGTGATCTGCTGGATGCTGGTGGCCTCCCAGGCTTCCATGCTGATCACGTGTGGGCTGGTCACTGTTGGCAGCTGATGCAGTGCTCACTCTCACACCGGCTTTCTCCCTTTGTCAGACCAATATGATGACCTAAACATGCACCTGGAAAAGCTGAGAGTGGTGCAGATTAGCCAGAAAGAATGTGCCAAGAGGGTAAACCAGCTCTCCAGGAACATGATTTGTGCTTGGAAGGAACCAGGCACCAATGGTATCTGCAAGGTACTCACCCCTGCCCAGCCCCCTTCTCCCTCCAGGTACCCCATCACTTTCTAGGTTCCCAAACAGGGCGGAGGCTAGCCTACATCACTAGGACCCTCCTGTTTTCCCCTCCATGTTCTTTCTGGAGGTACCATTGATAGCAGACTGTTCTTCCTTTTCTCATTCCCAGGGAGACAGTGGGGCACCTCTGGTTTGTGCTATTTATGGAACCCAGAGACTCTTCCAAGTGGGTGTCTTCAGTTGGGGCATAAGGTCTGGCTCCAGGGGGAGACCTGGTATGTTTGTGTCTGTGGCTCAATTTATTCCATGGATCCAGGAGGAGACAGAAAAGGAGGGGAAAGCCTACACCATAATCTCAGGATCCACGAGAAGCTCGCTGGTGTGTGTTCCTCAGTACCTTTTCTTGCTAGGACTGGGGTCTCAAATGCTGCTGGCCACCATGTTTACCGGTGATAAACCTAATTGCTAAGCTTTGGACCCACCCTTTTTCCTTCTTTTTCTTCTCTCTCCTCTCTTCCTTTCCATTCTCACACAAGCATCTGTGGAGCATCTGCTATGGGGTAGCATCTACACCGACTCCCAGAAGTTAGACATGGACTCAATTCTTCCAAATCTCACAGTCTAATGAAGGAATGTTAAACACAATGCTAAAAAGAGGCACGCGCAGTGCATTGGGAATCCCGGAGGAAAACAGTAACCTCCAACAAAGAAGGACAGTTTCAGGAAAGGGTTGGAAACTCAACCTTGGGAAATCACTTATGTTTCTTAACCTCAGTTTCCTTATCCATGAAAAAGAGATTCCATTAGATGAACTGTAAGGTCTTTCATCAAACCAACATTCTGTAATGCTTAATAACTTATTTATCTCGTGGAACACAATATTACCTCGTCATTGCCCCACTCTAATTCCATCAGTTCTGTGCATGATACGGACGCACACACAGGGAACCCCCATCTGAGGTGCAAATGCTTTCGTCTCCTGGGCCGTCCATGAAAGAAAGTCTCTGGTAGAGTTAGGATCAGGGGTCTTTCATCTGGTTTGGACTTGAACATGGGGAGATGATGGCTTGCTACTTACAGACCACACCATTATTTCTTTCTCCTTATTTATCCAAATAAAAAGTTAGGATAATGGGGTGGATGAGAGGAAGTGGCAACATCTGCCCTCTCCACATATGTGGGTCACTGAGTGAAGCCCACTGCCAGTCGCCAGAGTCTTCATCCATCCAGTAAGAAAGGATAACCATTCCAGGACGAGAAAGCAAGCACATCTTTTCACTGAGTGGAAACAAAATAGCTTGTGTGGCCAGACTGAAATACAAACGATAAGAATTTGTTTTTAGAAAACTAAGAGACCACGTGTATTTAAAGATTGGTGCCATGAAGGAGAGTCAGGGGCTAGTGGTAGTTTTCTGAGGGGTCCTTTCTTGGTTATGTCCACCTGGCATAGCTACAAAGGAAACAATCATATGTGGCCCCATAAAAGAGAAAGACATTCATCTGCTCATTCATTCATGCATTCAGATACTTTGTGAAACAGGCACTGGAAAGATACAGGAATGTAGATGGTATGGGTGCTTCATGACGTCTAATGTATATGTTACAGCCAAATTTGTGCCTCTTCTCATAGGGTCCCTCGCAATTAGTAATTAGTTCCATTATATAAATGCAGTTGTTCCTCGGTATCTGTGGGAAATTGGTTCCGGACCCTTCTTGGATACGAAAATCCACGGATGCTCAAGTTCCTCATATAAAACAGTATTTGTATGTAACATATGCAATCCTTCTACATATTTTAAATCTTCTCTAGATTACTTATAGTACCTAATACAATGTCAATGCTATGTAAATAGTTGTTATACTGTATTGTTTAAGGATAATAATTTTTAAAAAGTTTGTGCATGTTCAGTACAGATACAACCATCCCTATTTTTTCCAAATATTTTTGATCTGAGGTTGGTTGAATCCACAGATGCAGAACCCATGGATATGTAGGGCCAACTGAACATGTATACATATATGTATACATATACTTATGTATGTACATGTATCTGTATACATACCTATGTATGTATGCACGTGTCTGTATACATACATAATTTTATATACACATAAGTATATAAAAATACATATTGTTTTACTTCTAAATACATATCATTTATTTATGGATAGTTTCCTTTCATTACATATATGTAAAGAGAGAGGGGTTTATTTTAAAGAACTGGCCCACGTGATTATCAAGTTTAAAATCTGTGGGGAAGGCAGGTAAACTGGAGACCCAGGGAAGAGTTGATGTTGTAGTATCAAGTCCGAAGGCCATCTGGGGGCAAAATTTCTTATTTGGGGGACTTAAATCCTTTCTCCTAAGACCTTCATCTGATTGGATGAGGCCAACTCACATATGGAGGGCAATCTGCTTTCCTCAAGGTCTACTGATTCAAATGTTAATCACGTCTAAAAATAGCCTTCAGAGCAACATCTAGACTGCTGTTCAACCAAACAACTGAGCACCAGAGCCTGGCCAAGTTGGACACATTAAATTAACCATCACAGTGTCATAGTCCCATCTCTCAGGCTACTGGGAACAACAGGAAATGCAGCACTTCCCTCTTTGAAGTTTAATAGAACACAACACACACCCAACATTAGATGGCAAAAGAAAGTGAATTCCCTATGCCACTAAAACGCCACTCTTCTTGATGCGCTTCAGTTCACGAAAGGAGACACTTGGTTCTTTTCTCTCATGACCCTCAGATAGGGTTCCCTGTTTAAGTCAAAGTTACAAAGATTAATTGTTTTTATTTTAGCTTTTTTATCTCTACATTTTAAAAAATGAACAGGCTTTTGACAGTTACAGGTTTATAAAAAAAATTTGAGCAGAAAGTATTATACAATGGATTCTCAGAGGCCCCAGATCCCAATTTCTCCTATTTTAATATCTTGCATTAGTGTGGCACATTACAATTAATGAGCCAATATTGATGCATTATGACTAACTAGAATCTAGAGTTTACATTAGGATTCACTGTTTGCATTGCACATGCTATGGGTTTTGATGAGTGTATAATGACATGTGGCCACCATTGCAGTAATCACACAGAGTGGCTTCCCTGCTTAAAAATCCTCAGTGCTTCACTTGTTCATCTATACCCTGGCAACCACTGATATTTTTACAGTCTCCCACAGATTCCCATGAATTAAGTTCAGCCAAATATGAGTACAAAACACACAATTGCTAAATTCATAAACAGAAAACAAACCACCATGAAAAAGAGCAGGAAAGAAGATTACACACCTAGAGTTCAGATATTTAAAGTATTAGACAGTAAATATAAATAATTATGTATAAAATATTTTTTAAAAGGAAGAAACTTAAAATGAGACTGAAAACAAAATACCATCAAAAAAATGGCCAGGCAGAATTGAAAAAGAATCCATTGGAATTTATGGAAATAAAAATATAATCAGTAAACTAGTAGATGGATCTGAACGTTACTCAGGATGCTAAAAGGCAATATGGGAAAACATGAGAGAGAAGTATTGAAACAAGGCAGATGAAGTTAAAAGGACTAACATATGACTACCGAAGTTTCAGAAGCAAAGAATAGAAATAACGGAGATAAAGGAAACATTCAATGAGTCCGTGACCAAGAATGTTCCATAATTAATGAAAGACATTGATCTTCCAATTCTGGAAGCACAACAGAGTCCAAGCAGAATTTATGTATCTCTAAACACATTTTAGTGAAATGGCAGAACAATAAAGGCAGAGAAAATCTCAAAATCAGCACATGTGAGGAAAAAAGGGATTACTTACAGAGGAGCATCAAATCAACAGACTTCTCAACAGCAGCAAGGGAAGCTAAAAGATGGAATAGTACTACCAATGTGCTGAGAAAAAATAACTGCGACAAATTGTTGACACTAAAAACTATCATTCATGTAAAACATATTTTAAAACATGGTTTTCCACTAAAAAAATTAATACAGAGGTGCCACAGAACGCCATTTCGGTCAATGATGAACTACATATATGATGGTGGTCAGAGCAAGACACTACACCATATGGCCTAGATGTGTAGTAGGCTGTTCCATCTAGGTTTGCATACATTGATGTGTGCCTAGCAATGAAATTCCTAGTGATACATTTCTTAGAATGTATCCTGACATGACTGTATTTTAAAACACTTAAAATTTTAAAAATTTGAAGGTGGCATATATAGGAATATTCATAGCACCCTAGTTTGTAATAACAAAAAATTAGAAACACATACTTGCTAAATTCATAAATAGAAAACAGACCAATCTAAATGCTCATTATCAGAGACCTGAATAAAGTTTGGTATAGTCAAACAACAGAATGTCATTAGAAGGTGATTACGTACATCAGCTGGAGTTAAACAAATCAACGTAGCTTAATCTCACAATGCAGCACAAAGGCAAGTTACAGAAAAATGTATTCAGTGTGATATTTTTATAAATTTTAAAAATGTGTAAGGATATATTCAGATGTAGAAAAAGTAGGCAACTGCAAAGGGAAAAGAAATGCAAAGTTCAGGATATTCGTTATGGCTAGAAGAAATGGAGAGATCATCAGAGAGCTTCAACTCTGTAGTGTTTTATTTTATGGTATTATTGTTTATATCATTTTGTATATTTAATATTTTACCATAATTTTAGAAAGAAACGGAAAGGAGTGAAACAGAGAGAGAAAATTTGAAGTATTTATAAGCTCTTCTCATTTTGCAAAACAAAATGCATTTTTAACGGCAAAACTAGTACTTGCAAGAGACAGTTGAAAGGGGAACAAGGATGAAAGAATGGAGCAGCTCTAGGTTAGTAAACAGAAACCCTTATCTTACGAGCAGGCTTGGTTGCAGGGCTGCTCCTCCAGCTTGCCAGGGATTTTATAAGGTCACGTCATTGTGGCTGTGACCTAAGTCCAGGAGACTGGTGTGCCAGCCAGTGGTTGGGAGGTAGTGGGAAACATGGCTACTGTCTCTCCCCCAGGCTGTCTCAGAGCCTGTAGCTGATGACCAGGAGGAAATATCACACTGAAGAGTTAGGTCACTGTAAAAATCCAATCCATCTCTACCAGAGCTCAGCTTTAGCTGGCGCTGCTACTGCCTGCATTGTGCATTGCAGATATTAGTAAGTGCATCTCATTGGACCCAAAAATCACATCCAGAATTCTAGAGTAAGGCAGTTGCAACATGACACAGAACAAATGGAATGAGGAGAGGGGAACTGGATTTTGAGTGCTTACTGAGACACGATCTAGCAAGCCTACCACTTTGGCTGCTCAGCGTATGCACACAACCTTCTTTATTAAAATTCCTAGAAAACAAGAATAGTAACAACAGCATGCTCCTGACACAACACGACTATTCTCTACACAAACAGAACACTCTGATCCTCTCTGAAAAGTCTCATAAAATCATCATATCCATCTTTGAGTGAGATTGTTTAATCACAATCTCAGCTTCACATCCCTGTCAGTTTGGGTCCTCCAAGAGCCAATGCCAAGACTGAATTATATGTGAAAGAGATATATTGGTGGAAATGCCTGGCAACAATAAAGGATCTTGGGAACAGGAGGAGGCAGAGCATCTTCAGACCCCATTGCAGGTCTGAGAAAGTCTGGACCAGGTTGATGAGAGTTCATGAGCAAAGGGTACCAGGTTGAGAGCAGTAATGGCCCAAGAAAAATTGGCCCCTGCCACTCTCAGCCACTGGCTGGGTGTACTCCGTAGAAGTGCAGTGTTGGTCCGACAGCTATGATGGATCTGGAGGAGCAGTAGTTGAAGGCCATCATCAACCATGCTTCCCACAGCAGGTTCTTTTGAAGTAGATCTGGGTGGTACACCTCCATGGCCACCACAATCTCATATCCTAAAGATCAGTAATAAATGTAACCAATGTGAACACTTGGGGAAAGGAGGTAAAAGGGGAAATTGGTATATACAAATACATAAAACAAACATGAAAATCCAGGCAGCTGCAGTTGTTCTCAAGTCTGCAACTGATCCTGAGACCACAGCTGGCCTTCTTCCAATTTGAACCTCAGCTGATTGTGGTTCTTTATTTGTTGGGGTGACCACGCATTCATTTCTGAACTCTCAATGATTTTTCCTGGATGGGGTTGCTATGGTTTCCCACTGATTTCTCCCTTTGGACAATGAAATAGAAAGAGCATCTTCAAAGGATGTAATGGATTTCAGATATATTCCCCCTTGTCCCCATGTGTGTAGCAAATCTCTGTTCTTTGTTATTTGGGGTCAGTCTTCTCAGCCAGTACACTAACCTCCTCCTTTGCCTATTGGCTTAGTGGTATAATGAACTCCAAATGTCCAGGTGGCAGTCTCAACTCTCCATGCAATAAACCCATCATATTCCCTGGTAGAGGCATTCTTCACTTGGGAACTAACATCTCTAAATCTCCAGAGCTCAAAGTTGCGGTGGTAAAAAGCAAAACGTTATTGGGTGTGGATCGTTAAGTGCAACAGTAAATGAAGCCAGTCCCATTCTTTTCCCTTGGTTCCCAAACCCAAGTTTTCTGGCCACACAAGGATCAGCTCCTATTGAATGTGCTTCATAATAGACACGGTACTTTGTAAAAGAGCACTCCAGCCTCACATGTCATGAGATCTCAACAGGCTCAGTTGCACGACCTTCATGGGGCCATTCCACTGTTCTATCAGGCATGCTGCTTCTGGGTGGTGGGACCTATGGGAAGATCCGTGAATCCCATGGGCACCAAGTGCATTGCTTCAGTTCTGTTGCATTTTAATCTGTTGCATTTTAATCAGTTTGTAAGAAGTAATGCCAAATGCAAAACCATAGTGATGAATAACCAGGCATTTAGTAAGTTTTGTGTGACGAGGCAGCAAAGGCCTTTTGGGCCTGGGAGACACATCCATAGACAGAATAAATAAATGTCTACTACTGTGATGAAAAATTGCTGACTCCTCCATGAGGGAAGGGGTCAACTGTAATCAATTTTTCACCAGATGGGTACGTGCTACATCACCCCCAGCCTACAGACGATGGCCACAGCAGGGCCTTCCAAGGATGCTGGTGCCCACCTTGGAAATGTATTTTTCAATGCCTAATATAACAAAGCATCCTCAGGGATCTCATAAACTAGAGTTAAAGGATGGGGGAGCAGGTCACAATTAATAAATCCATTCTGGCATTCTTATCTGAGACTTTGGATTCCTTCTTTTATATTCTGGAAAGCAATTCTGTTTAACATAGGCCATTTTTTTTGGTCCAAGGTTTTAGTCCTTCAATCAAATAGAGCCACTTCCAGCTGCTCTAATGACATTCTGTTGTTTGGCTATACCAAAATGTATTCAGGTCTCTGATAATGAGCACTTAGATTGGTTTGTTTTCTATTTATGAATTTAGCAATTATGTGTTTCTAATTTTTTGTTATTATAAACTATGGTGCTATGAATTCAGAATTTCTCGTAAGTGCACCTAGACTGATAAATTTGGCCCAGTCAAATCAAATTCTAAGTCCCTTAGAATCCATTCTTGCACATAATCCTCAGGTTTCTACAAGTATATATTAGGGGAATGTTGCAGTTCTTTTAATGTGTTTTCTATCTTCTCCCGGGCCAGATTTGAACTGATTTATATGAATTCTACTGGGATGGCTCTACTGACTGCTGTGAGAGGTGATTGGGGGTAGCGGGCTATGGGAGAATCAGCATTCCCTGGGAAAGTACTATCTTTATATAAGTCTTTACAAAGTCTTCAAGCAAGAAAGGACTAGGGTCCCAGAAAGGAAAGGAAGGGAAGCTCAGTGGACTTTAAGGTTGTGAAGTACATTGATTCATCTTAATATACCCAAGTTTCCCAATGCAATACTCCTGGTCACAGTGCTTCCCAATTAATCACCTTTCACATAAGCTCCTAAAGAGGCTATGAATTCAAGTTAGGTTGTAATTCTGCCACCTGCAGGAACAACCCTGGGTTCAGTTTCTGCTATGATAAGAGATTTCTTCAGGGGCAGTTGTAGAAGCTTCTTTGATGCTTCTGCAATGCTTTTGAGTTATGCCTCTGAGGTGAAATTTTAAAGCCTTGAGATTGTTGGGGTATTTTGTTCTGTATTTTTTCTGTAAATTTTCCATTCAGTAACTTTAACCCTTGTACTTATCTCTTCCACCAGAGTATTCTATCAAAAAGGTGCTTGGTCTCTTTTAATAGGCAATTGATTCCATGAACGACAGGTCATAACTTAAGACACTGCATGCCATGGACTACCAGAAACCCATTTTCCACTAGCCAGGAGGTCATTACTGGCTTCAAGCTAATCCATGCCTAACAACACATCTTAGATTTCCCTCCATCTTTGCAGTTGTATTTCCTGGAACCACTTTCAGTACCAAATACTGTATCAGTCAGGATTCTTTCAGGAAAATAGAAAACGCTCATGTATGTCAAACAGAAAGGTATTTAATACATGAAAATGGGTACTTCTAGAACCATCAAAAGTGCTTGAGTGTCAAGGTCAGGAAAAACAGTTGCTTCTTTTCAAGAGCTCAGTAAACTACAGGAATCATTGGAACCCCCTGCAAATGATACAATTAGCTTCAGTATCAGGATGATTTGCAGGAGAAGACCCAAAGTTAATGGCAAAACCTCATGACTGCCATCTGCTGAAATCTGCGAGCCTGCACACAGCTGCCATGGGAAAATGATTGCTCCCTTTCCCCTGCCTCCTAAAGCTTGGCTGAGAATCTAAATTGGAAGCCTGCTGGGATCCTGAGAAACATAGCTCTTAGACTTTCAGCCTCTACAATACCTGGGAGACTTAGAAAGGCAGCGATGGTGCTAAAAATCAGTATATAATATCTGGCATATTGACCTGCTAAATGTGGAAAACAAAAAGAGTAATTCCCTCATGTGGTTGCTATGAGGATTAAGCAAGATAACACTTGCAAAGTCCTGGGCATAGTATATTGTACATGATAAGGCTTACTAATGGGTAGTGTGGTGTCTTTATCAGCCCTAAAATAAAAATAGCTCATAGCTGTCAACTCTGTCCTCTGTGAGAATGTGCTAGATGATACTGAGCCATTATTTTCCATTTGTCTCCCATTTCCCCAGTACAGATCCATGTGCCGTACTTCCCTCGGTGCTGGGAGGCTGGCTCCTAGGGACTGAGTTACCTGGGATCCTAAATGCCACTTGGCTTGACCTCAGCAAGTACCAACAGAAAGTACCAGGGCAGGAAGGGAGATGGTTGGGGTATTTCTTCCCCATCACTTTCCTGTTTGGGCCATTGTTCTGCCACTGGCTGGGTCCATTCTGGACTCAGTTCCCACGGGGTAGTCCCTCCTTTACGCTTGCGGTCCTCACTGGATTCCAATGACAGTATCTTCCCCTATGGCTTACTGCTGCTGTTCAACTCTGGACACCTTGTTCTCCTTCGCTGAATCCCTTTACAATGCCCACAACTTTCAGTCCCTTCATTAAAATGCCTTCATTTGCACTTTCAGAGTAGAATCGTGTTTCCTTCTGGAGCCCTTCCTAATTGATATGCTTAGGGCCATCTTCCTTAACACCCCAGACCTGCTGGTTTCGGAGCCATCGACCTCCTCATTTCCACCGCAGAAGGCTAGAGGGAGATTCGGAAAATCAGGGCAGGGCCCAGGAGAAGGTGAGGAGTGATGGCCAGTGGAGAAGTGGAATGAAGCTGAACTCTAAGTTGGCATCGCATGCCCCTCTTGGCTGGCATGGGGATTTCATCTCCAAGAGGCCGGTGGACTGTGGCACACAGACAATGCCCTCCTGGACACAAGTCCGGGGCCCCCACCTGGCACCCCTGTCCAAAGTGGAGTCGCTACATCTGGAGTTGCACTTCTCTTGCATTGCCTGCAAAGATCCAACTGTCCCCGTACAGGGGAAGAATTAGGGCACAGCTGAAACCCAAAAAGGAAAAGAAATGGGCTGAAATCCACGGGGAGCAATGTCTATTTCTTAGTCTGTCTCCTGCCCCAAATAGCTCCCCACTCCTCCCGCAGCTTGTGTTGACGCGTGGCTTTCCCTGGCAGCAGATGCCACCGGAACGTAAACTAGGACGCAGAGGGTGGTGATGAGCCACAGGCCCTCAGGCCATGTCCTGTCCTGCCCTGACTCCCCAGGCTCCCTTGCCTGGAGTTCAGAGCACAGACCCTGAGTGACCCCCTGCTCGCCAGGATGTCCCAGCAGGGCCCCTGCTCTCCAGAGCCACAGCAAATTAGGGGGACCCTCTGTTCAGCCTGGGAGGGAGCCGGGGTCCCATCTGTGAACTGGTGGGCAGAGGGGGTAGTGCCAGGTGGAGTGGTAGCTCTCCCTCCTATCCCTGCCCCATCCCTACCCTGTCCACCCCTTTCATTCCCTCCCGCTGTGGCCCTGATGAGCCCTCTCAGGGAAGCCCATTCTCCCTCTGAACTTTCAGGGAGTGAGGCTTACCTGCTCTTTCCCCTGGGACAGCTTTGAGGTCGGTCTCAAACAGGACCTTTCTCTCCCTGCACAGGTTCTTTCAGAGCACAGCTTCAGCCTGGTTACTTCTGGCACCAGCCAGGAGGAACAGACTTTTTCCCACACAGCAGTTACCACCAGAAGTACCTGAACAAGATCACCCTCAGCTCCTGCAGCCTCAGGGCACCCAAGTGTCCTGTCCACTGGGCATTAGTTACGGGCAAAGATTTGTGTAGCCCTTCACTTTGCACGCTGAAGCTCTAACCCTGGCTGCAACTGGAGAGGGGGCCGCCAAGGAAGTCATTAAGGTTAACTGAGATATGGGGTGGGGCCCTGGTCAATAGGATGGTGTCCTTATGAGGACACTTATAAGATGGACGCCCACTTGCCCCCCTGACTCCTCTGGCACAGGAACTGAGGAAGAGTCACAAGAGGACACAGCAGATGCTGGTCACCTGCAGGCTAGGAAGAAAGCCCTCCCCAGGAACCTGGGTCTTGGATTTCCAGCCTCCGCTGTGGAAAATAAATGTGTGTTGATCAATCCACCGAGTCTATAGCGTTTTGTAACGGTGGCCTGAGCAGACCAAGACAGTATGAAAACATAACTTCTCCCCACGTGTTGAAGTTACAACAGCAATGCTTTCAACAAATTGGGCAATGCTTTCGTGGTTCCCACTGGGCGAGTGTTGAAGCTCACAAAACGCAAAGGCATTTTTGAACGTCTGGTCTTTGACGTATAATTTCTATTCAGCAAATTCACCACTTCAAGATGGATGGTTCTGTGAATTCTGATGAATGTAAATGGCTGTGACCAGTACCACAGTTAAGACATAGAAGCTTGGCTGGATGCAGTGCCTCATGCCTGTAATCCCAGCACTTTGGGAGACTGAGGTGGGCGGATCACCTGAGGTCAGGTGTTTGAGACCAGCCTGACCAACATGGTGAAACCCCTTCTCTACTCAAAATACAAAAATTAGCTGGGCGGGGAGGCATGTGCCTGTAATCTCAGTTATTCAGGAGGCTGAGGCTGGAGAATTGCTTGAACCTGGGAGGTGGAGTTTGCAGTGAGCCGAGATCACGCCATTGCACTCCAGCCTGGGTGACAAGAGCGAAATTCCGTTTCAAAAAAAAAGAGACATAGAACATTTTCGTCGCCCCAAAACATTCCCCTGTGCTCCTTAGTAATCCATCCTCTTCCTGGAATCCCAAACCCTGGCAACAACTGATGCGTTCTCTAAGCTGGGAGTTTTGACTTTCCCAGAATGCCATGGAATCACATGGTGTGCAGTGGCTCGTGTCTGGCTTCTCCAACTCGGCGCGATGCTCATGAGATCCGAGTTGCTGTCCATGTCAGTCAGCTGTTCCTCTTTGCTGCTGTGTAGCACTGCTGTTGTGTGGATGCACCACAGTTTGTTCATTCCTTCCCCTGATGATGGACATTGAGGTTGTTACCAGTTTTTAGCAATTAAGAAGAAAGCCACCATGAACAATGGGTACTGGTTTTCATGTGGATGTATGTTTCTATGCAATCCTGTTTTGATTCAAATGTGAACTCATCTACTACTGTGCTAGGCAATTTTTGGATGATTTGGGGTCTAAATGAAGATAATGCAGGTGCTTGCTGTGTTCTCCCTTTCTGAAGTCTGGGACTGCCATGGAATTTGTGTGGTTTCTTTGGGCAGGACGGCAGGTAATGCAGGAATTCTTTTATCTATGCCTTGTTCCATCTCATATACATGTGCCCTCTAGTGCTCAAAAGTTTGCAAACACTTAGAGCAGTGATGAGATGTTTTGCTCTACTGACCCCAAATACACGCTTTCTCTCCCATTTCAGGACCCTGCTTGGCAGAGAAAAGCAAAGCATTAGGTTGCTGAATTCTAATGCTTTGCTTACAGGTATGAGAAATACAGTAAATGCTGGTTCTGACAAAACTCCACATACAATAAAATGAATGAACGGCCTAATGTTTTATCTGTCTTTCAGTTATTCCGATGGGATAGTTCCAAGAGGTTTTAAGATAAAATGTGAAGCCTCAAAACAGCTGGAGAAAGAAAGTCCCATAGTCATTTTCCCTAACATAGAATATGGATAGAATTTTGGAAAATGTTTGCAAACTTCCCTTATGTATAGAATTTTGGAAAATGTGTACAACCATAGTTCCTTGCCGTTAATTAGTAATACTAGCTATTCTTCATATACCTGTCACATCCACGGTGAGTTCTTATCAGAACGATTCTTGGCCACATAGAAGGGAAGATGGCTTATTCAGATTTGAGCTTTATTCAGGAAATTGACCCCCACCCCCACCTACCACGCAACCTGGTACATTATTCCAACTTGATAGCTTAACTTGAACCATGCAAATTTGTCAATATTCTCCTATTTTTGAACCACCAAAACAACAATTCTGATTTAACTCAGAAGTTCCTGCAGTTCCCGTACACCTCTGTACCTTTGCACATATTTTTTTGCCCAGGTAGAATGCTGCTTGAGTTTCAGGGTTGCTGTAACAAAGTTCCACAACTATGAGGCTTAGAACAACAGAAATATTGTCAGGAGCTCTGGAGGCCAGAAGTCCAAAATCCCAGTGTTAGCAGGACCGGGCTCCCTCTGAAGGCGCTAGGAAGGATCTGTTCCACTTCTCCCTCCAGGCTTCTGGTACACTCTTGGCTTGTGGCAGCACAACTCCAGTCTTCACATAGGACTCTCCCTGTGTGGGTGAGTGTGTCCAAATGGCCCCTTTCTATAAGATCACCAGTCATATTGGATTGGGGGCCCGTCCTACTCTAGCATGATCCCTCTCAATCAATTATATCTGCAAGGACCTGCTTCCAAATAAAGTCACATGCTGAGGTCTGGGGGTTAGAACATCAACACAGAAATTTGGGGGACCATCACTTAAACTGTAACATATGCCTTCCTGCCCTTCCCCCAAGCCTTTCCCTTTGGGAATTGGCTTACCCCAGACAAACCTTATTTCCTATAGACAATTTTCCCTATGGCCTCTTCTCCCACCCACCACACACCGTGCCCCTCACCTGGCTGCCAATGACACTCTTATCCCATTGTATTAAGGTAGTCTCCCTGCCAATGTGTCTCTCCCAGATGATTATGAGATTCAAAGAGACAGAGAACATCTATTGTTCATCTTTGCATTATCCTCCAAGCCCAGCAAGTAGCAAGTAGAAAGTGCTCCAAAGAGCTCTGGATGACTTCATGAACAAAGAAATGAAAGAACTGCACCACCAAAAGCCACCCTGCAGCTGATCCAGGCATGGATCTGTACTTTGGATGTGTCTTGTTCATAGAAACTGTTGGTCAAGGTGCCTTCCTTTGCAGGAAGACATTAGTACAGATGAAATGGGAGAATTAAAATCGTGGGCGTGGTATTTGCCATGTCCTGTGCTCATTACTCCTCTCAACCATATGGTGCTGCACTATCATCATCCACATTTTACAGGGGAGTCATCAGAGGCACAAAGCTAAGGGACACTGCTAAGGTCCAACAGCCTGTGCCCTCTCTGCTGTTTCACTTGAGTGGTTTGGAACAGCAGCCTCAGAGTCTTTCTCATTCCCCAAGGCTATCCCTAGAGCGTGCGTCCAGCTATTTTGTCCTGACACATTCATGAAGCTGAGACACCGCCTCTTACAGGAGCACAGCTGGCTGGGGAGCCCCTCCCACTCCGAGCCTCTCACCCCCAGCTCCATCCTGACCTCCACACCGCACAGGGCTCAGGGTGACCCCGGCTGCTTTGTCTGGACTGTGGCGGCTCCACCCATTCCCTATTGTGACCTGGGCAGTCAGGCTGGGCTGTGAGCTAGCGGGCGTGGAGAGTGAAGCCCCGACCCCCCTGCCCCCGATGGGTTCTGGGGCAGTCGGAGGAATTATTTCTGCTGGGTCCCTGGATTAGGGTCTATTTCAATCCACTATGACCTCATCTTAATTTAACTAATTATATCTGCCAAGCCTCTATTTCCAAATGAGGTCACATTCTGAGGTTCTGGGTGGACATGAATTTTGGGACGATACTATTCAGCCCAGTCCAGATCCTCTGTAAGATCTTTTAAGAACAGGTCCTCTGTAACCAAAGGGAGGCAATGAGGGACGGTGGTTAGGAGTGCAGGCTCTGAAGTCAGACGACCCAGTCTCCCTCCTGACTCCCCTACTTGAAATGCCTGTGTAACCTCAGCAAGAGATGTCCCCCGTGCCTGTGCCTTTTCAGATTTCCTCATCTACAACAGGGGAATTATAAGAGTTCCTACCTTTTGGGGCTGTTGTGAGAATTCAGTGAGGTAATGCACATGAAGCACTGAGCGAATGGGTAATAGGAGATGCTACATAGACTTATCTTCATCACTGTCTTTCACTCCCATCCAGTTCTCAATAGCATACACACGGCTGCCACAAATACACAGAAGTATTAGGAATTAGCTCTGCGAGACAGGCCTATTTCAGATAAGAAAAATGAGGATCAGAGAAGTTGAAAGTCTTGCTGAGGACACCCCAGCAAAGTGAATTACAGGCCCAGAATTCTATCAAAGGCATCCCGCCTTCTGAGATTAGAACCGCCTTCTGTGTCCCAGGAAAAACCTACTGTAGTCATGCCTAGATCTGCCTGGTCTAAAAACCACAAAAATAGCAGGAGTTACCACTGAGTCAATGCTTGCCATGTATAAAGACCTGGATTTAGCTGTTTCCTTCCATTCACAGAGCTGTCCTGCAGGAGAGATGTAACTTTTACCATCACTGTAAAAACTGAGCCTTAAACTGCTTAAGAAACTGTTCAGATTAATTCAACTGAATATTCACACTGGAGTTTGAATGAAGGTCTATGTGGCTTCAGAAATTTAAGATCCAAACCATACCGCTGTTGTACCTGACATCCTTCGCGCAGCTCCCTCATCTTCAGAAAGACAATTATAATTCTTCATTTTAAAGCAAGGTCGTGTGACTTTCCAGTGACTTCTGAGCATTTGGTAAAGAACAGCTTTGTTCAAAGTAAGTTGATGAACACAGCAATTTCTTCATAACAGCAATCTGGTTAAAAAAATAAAATAAACCCATATCCAGCTTTGGCAAGGGAGTTATTTGTTTTCATGTTTTGTATTTGGACTTGCAACACATCGAGGGGTGATTTTTTTTCAACGTTTTGTGTGTCACTTAACATTTTTGAAAATAAAGCCTTATAAGCTGTGAAACAATATGAAATCCTGATCCTATCTCTGTAAAATCTGATGGGTGCACATTGATAGACAAGGGTGTGGAAAGTTACATCTGAAGGTGGCAATAGGAGTTGCCTCTGCATGGGTGGAATTAGAAGGATTGTTGATTTCATTTATTTATTTGAATACACGATAAAGGAAGTTCAAGCAGTAAGATGGCTGCACAGCGAAGAGGAAGTTCACCTCTTACGCTCGTTCTCAGTCCACTCGCCAAAGGCAGTTATATGGATATGTATTCTTCCTGAAATATTCCTTTCATACACAATCGTGTATAAAATCGTGTATGGAAAAAAAAAAGTCTGCTCATCATGTAGTGTGTGTTTACATATAAATGCACTTATTTATGTAGTTATGGGTATTCTTCATGGTCTTTTTCCATATCTGAGTTTTCCAGCTTTTTATTATTATACATTTCTTTTTATTTTCTTTTACTTTAAGTTCTGGGATAAATGTGCAGGCTTGTTATATAGGTATACATGTGCCATGGTGGTTTGCTGCACTCACCAACCTGTCATCTAGGTTTTAAGCCCAGCATGCATTAGGAATTTGTATGAATGTTCTTCCTCCCCTTGGCCCCCACTCCCTCCCCAACAGGCCCTGGTGTGTGATGTAAACATATGGGACGCTTCACGAATTTGCATGTCATCCTTGCACAGGAGCCATGCTAATCTTCTCTGCATTGTTCCAGGGTTAGGATATATGCTGCCAAAGTGAGCACTATACATTAATTTTTAATCGAATTTTTTTTTTTTTTTTTTTGAGACGGAGTCCTGCTCTGTCTCCCAGGCTGGAGTGCAGTGGTGCGATCTCCACTCACTGCAAGCTCCGCCTCCTGGGTTCACGCCATTCTCCTGCCTCAGCCTCCCGTGTAGCTGGGACTACAGGTGCCTGCCACCACGCCCAGCTAATTTTTGTATTTTTAGTAGAGATGGGGTTTCACCATGTTAGCCAGGGTGGTCTCAATCTCCTGACCTCGTGATCCGCCTGTCTCGGCCTCCCAAAGTGCTGAGATTACAGGCATGAGCCACTGCGCCCGGCCTTGTTGGTGTTTTTACTTTTTGTTATTGTGAACTATATAGAAAGAGAAAAATGGGTTGGCTGAAAATGGATTTGGTGTGAAAAGGCGGGGAAAATGTGAAGAATTTTGAAAAAAACATACAAAAGTGCTTAAAGGTAAAATAGATTATAAAACCAGCCCTTGTTGTATTAAAATTAATGCACGAGCCGGGCGCGGTGGCTCACGCCTGTAATCCCAGCACTTTGGGAGGCCAAGGTGGGTAGATCACCTGCAGTCAGGAGTCCAAGATCAGCCTGGCCAACATGGTGAAACTCCTTCTCTACCAAAAATACAAAAATTAGCCAGGCATGGTGGCATTTGCATGTAGTCCCAGCTAGTTGGGAGGCTGAGGCAGGAGAATCACTTTAACCCAGGAGGCAGAGGTTGCAGTGAGCTGAGATTGCACCACTGCACCCCAGCCTGGGCGACAGAGTGAGACTCGGTCTCAAAAATAATAATAAAACTAATGTATAAGACTAGATGGTGATGATTGAGAGACCTTGTTGACCAAATTGTTTTCTTTTCCAGCAGTCCCAGAGCATAGCTATACGGTTGGAGAAACTAATCAAAACCATTATCCCAAAGGCTGTATCCCAGCCCTTTCAGAAGCCAAGGCAGGAAGATGGCTTGAGCCCAGAAGTTCAAAATTGCAGTGAGCTATGATTGCACCACTGCACGTCAGCCTGGGCAACAGAGCAAGACCCCGACTCTTAAAAAAAAAAATCTGCCCATCAAAAGGTGCCATAAGTGCTTTTTGCCTATGCCAGCAGGCTGCACCTCAGTAGGCTATAGGAGTAACTTGTTTCTGCCCCTTCCCCTCCCAAACAACCTTTCTTTCCTAGGGTGACAGTAGGGGGGCCTTTGGTTTGCCAGAAAAACAACCAAAGCACTTGGTACCAGCTGGGCATTACTGGCTGGAGTGTGGGCTGTGGCCAGAAGAACATGCCTGGAGTGTACATGGAGGTGTCCAATTATCTGCTTTGGATCGAGAGGAAGACTGTGCTGGCAGGGAAGCCTTACAAGTACAAGCCAGACTCTGCATACGCTTTGCTTCTCTCACCCTGGGCCATCCTGTTACTATATTTTGTGATGCTTCTATTATTCTGGTGATTAAACACCACGTTGTCTCAAAAGTCAAGCGTCCTTCTCAGTTTGTGCACTAAGTATAGGGCAATTCCAGGTTGCAATGAGTGGCTCTCAGATGATGAGTTGTGCCTGAACCAATCATAGAACTATAGCAGTACTTAAAAGATAGCTAAGACCCAAACGTCACAGCCTATGGGTCACCTGGAACTCGGAAGTAGCTTGCCTGAGTCCTCTCCAAGAGTTTGGAGGGAGTGCCTTTCCACCAGGGGGATCGTGCTGGGGACCTGGGAAGCAGGAAGCTTGTTCTTTCCTCCTTGCAAACAGGCATCCTTCCAAGGCAGCTTTTATCCTCCAAAAGGGTAGATGGCTGATGAGATAGGAAACATGTTGAACTCTTTCCCGCTTCATTGGTAGCTCATCCCGGAGACCTGCAGATTTGGTTTCCAGAAAGATCCTTGTCCTTTACCCTGCTTGCTCCCTCAGCCACCATCTGGTCCTGAGTCCCCAGTAAAAGTTGCTTTTGGCTCTCAGAGATTATGAGCAACAACTCTAAGATTCAGGATCAGAAGGCATTGAAGCAGAAATGTCCTAGTGTTGGGGTGGAAAAAAAACACACAGCTAGTGAGATGTAGCAATCAAGGTACCTTTGCTTGCAAGCATTGGGAGCTCCAACTGAAGCTTAAAAGGGTGTCGGTGGTGCAGACTCGAAAGAAGAGCAGAAACCCTGGGAGCTGCCCCATAAGCAGCAGTCTGACAGTCTGATGGACACCAAGGGCATCTTCCAGGCCATCTGGACGAAAGGGTGGACTGTCTGTTCTTTATGCAATCATCCTTGAGCAGAAATTTTTCAGTCAGGCACGACATATAAAACGGCATTCTTTACTGAGGCAACTTGGCATATTTTTGAAGAGAGAGAATGAAAAAGCTACAGGGTATTTTTTAAAAATGAGAGCATTTTATATGAGTTTGCCTTAAGTGGAATTCCATGAGCTGTGAACAACAACAACAAAAACACAGGAAAAGCATCAACCTTTGTGCACATGCATTTGAGAAGAAAGAAAAGATGATGTAAAGAGAGTTCCTTTAGCTTGGCCTTCATCAGCTTTCTCAGAACAGGATAGCTTGTCTACCATCTGACTCTAGAAAGCATTTAGGTGAGGAAGCACCTAAATGCTTTAGCAGGAAGAATTAGTATATACCTGCAGTCCATTTTGGTCTAAAGCTGCAGTGGCCACAAGAATTTTGGCAGTTGGGAAGCACAGAATGGTGGCTACACGCAGATGGGGTAGTGTCCCCAAGAAAGGTAGATTTAAAAAGGATTTCCTCTTGTCTCTGAAATAAGAGCAGTGATGATTCCCTGGGCTTGAAGTTCAGAAGGCTGAGGCTAGGAGAGGCCACAGTCTTGTGTCTTCAGCTCAGGCCAGTAGGCAGATAGAAAAGCTGAAATGACCAGACCACTCTACCAAGCTCCTGTGAGAGGTGGTGTGTGTACATGTATGTGTACATGTGTGCACGTACATGTACATGTGTATGTGTGCAGATGTACTATGTACATGTACGCGTGTGGGTACTTGTGTGTGCGTGTATGCACTTGTGTGTACTGTGTGTTTGTGTCTGTACTTGTGTGTGCATGTATGTGTGTGTACGTGTGTGTGTGCATGTGTGTGTTTAGTGGGGGTGCTTCTCTGCCTCCATCACAAAATAGTTGTCAAACTTTCAGATTTTTGCTAATTCTATAAGAAGTGATAACTCAAAGTAGGTTTTTGAAAAAATTATTCTGATCTTAAGTATACAGTGTGAAGAGTTTTAAAAAATGGTTTTATCAAACACCGCATGTTCTCACTCATAGGTGGGAACTGAACAATGAGATCACTTGGACTCGGGAAGGGGGACATCACACACCGGGGCCTATTAAGGGGAGGGGGAAGGGGGGAAGGATTGCATTGGGAGTTATAGCTGATGTAAATGACGAGTAGTTGGGTGCTGACGAGTTGATGGGTGCAGCACAGCAACATGGCACAAGTATACATATGTAACAAACCTGCACGTTATGCACATGTACCCTAGAACTTAAAGTATAATAATAATAAAAAAAAGAAAAAAGAAAAAAAAAAAAAACCCCACTTATTCTATGTTAGTAATTTTTTAAAATAAAACTTGGATTTTACAGTGAAAAAAAAATGGTTTTAATTTTTATTAAACCCATTTGATCAATTATTTATTTCATGGTTAGTACATGCTGAATCCTAAGAAATTTTCACCTATTCCAATATTGATATTGTATTGTTTTCTTTTACAAGCTTTATTATTTTAGCTCTAACATTTAGGTCCATCATCCATCTTGAAATAATTTCTGTGTATGGTGTGATATGGGTCAGGATTCATTTGTTTCATATACACAGCCAATTGAATTGAAAAGGCCTTACTTTTCATTGGATTGCCTTGACATCTTGGTCTAAATCAGTTGGTCTAAATTAGTGTAAGTATAGGTCTGTTTCTTGAGTTATGTCTTTTTTTTTGCTGACCTGGGTATTCTAGGACTGGATATCTGGTTTGGTTTTTATTTGGTATCTGACCTGGATGTCTTTGTTTCCACTTGGAAGTGACATACAGATAGTCAGTAAAAATAGCTATTTAAGGCAAGCTTTTGGTAGCCCAAGTGGTTGCTGCTATTGGCCATTACAGTGAGAACAAGGAAGACAAGTGCTAGAGTAGGTAGTGAGGCAGACATGAGCAGAGCAGGAGAGGGCCCCATCCCTCAACGAGGAGTGCAGGTGACCGTCAGGTGATGGTCAGCAGTTGTTGAGCTGTCTCGTTAAAACAATAATTGGTCACAGCTGGCACCAGGGAACGGCAGTCTCACAGTAGATAGAAAACACCTGAAGCTGGTGATCAGCAGCTTCCCAGTAAGATCTCGGGAGCTGGGTTAGTGGCTCAAGCATGTGCACTAAGAGGCAAAATGGCAGAGTTTAACTGGTATATGACCTTCCTCCAGAAACACCCGACTGATAAGGGAAAAATGCCTCAAGTGAACATGCACACAACTTTAGTCAATACACTGTGCATGCTCACCTCCCAAGTTCTGGCAGGCCACTGGGCATATGGAGAGCCCACCCCCAGGGAAGAATCAGGGAGAAAGATATGCAGACCCCTCAAGCCTGCCAACATATCAAACCCCAAGTCAAAGGTCAAACAGCACACTTGAATCTCTCCAGTTGCCTGCTTGGCCTCTTCCAAGTGTACTTTACTTCCTTTCTTTCCTGCTCTAAAACTTTTTGACAAGTTTTCACTACTGCTCAAAAACTTGCCTTAGTTTCTGCCTCTGTCTTATGTCCCTCAGTCAAATTCTTTCTTCTGAGGAGGCAAGAATTAAGGTTGCTGCAGACCCACCTGGATTTGCTGTTGTTAACACAAGAACTGTCAGCTAATTGTTTAGAATAGAGCTTAACTGAAGAAAATAGCAAGCTCAGGTTTATTTTATTTTATTTTAATTTTGGCGTAAGTCTCTTCTCTTGTAGCTGTAGAACCAGTGTAGCAAAAACTTGGGCCCAAAAATTAATCCTATTGATTGCATG